ATAAGATTGGGCACATCCGGACTGGCCCTGCATTTTAAAAGAAAGATCTTTGCTACACAACTTCGAGATGTTATGAGCCATATAAAAGTCAGTGTCTTTACATGGAATCTCAGAAATATCAAGGAAGCTATTCAGTCTGCCCCACTCCTAGATTCAAAAGCCGCTCCACATACCTCAAAGACTTGCTTTTTGCCTGGTGGAAAGAGTTTGCGGTAGAGAATTAAGAGACAGTTCTGTCACCTACCAGCAACATGACCCTGGACAAGAAAGCCACTTAACCTCTCCCTACTTCAGCCTTTTCACTGGGGAAACAGGGAAATTAGCACTCGATGCAAACTTGCATGAATGTTAGAAAACTAACGAGAGCCACCGGATCCGGGGCCCCGGACTGGGACTGCAGGGACTGCTGCTTCATTTTAGCGACGACGACCTCAATACCGGACCCCGGATAAGAAGATACCCAGAAAGCACTGCAATTCAAAGACAATGCCAAAAGGTGACAAGTCATTAAAGATCTGGAAAACCCTCGCTGCCCAAGAGCTGTCCCTGGCACGCGTAATTAAACCTGGTCCTGCCAGGATTCCAGGGCCGTGGTGCCGCTACCCGAATTCCTCTACAAAGGCCCTACCAGTGCCGCACCACGGCGGGGCCGGGGTCACTCCCTCTCAGGGCAGCCCCGGTTCTTCGAGTTTTCCGTTTAAAACCTGAACAAAATCCATCTCCTTGAAGCGTCCACCATGTGTCCCTCTGAAACCACCTGTGCCAGCCGGACAAGCGAGGCCCGCACTGCGCCCGGTGGACCTTCCACTGCCCGGTCACCAGCAGCCCGGCCGTGGCTCGGGCCCTCACCACACTCCCTCCCGTGTCACCTCTGGTTCCCTACGTGGTGTGGGCTTCTGGCCCCGGCACCACTCTTCCTGGTCACATCTGAAACCCGCCCGCTGGTCCACAGTCGTCACCAAGCACAGCGCAGGTCCTCATTATGTAAGAGTGAGCTGGGACTGGCCGGATCCTCCAACATCTCCGTCCGTCATCAGACACGTGAGTCAGTCAAGCCACCACGTGGGAATCCAAGGTATTTCTACAGATAGGAAATTCTTCAGTCATAGTCTCTGCTTCTGTAATTGACTAGATTCATCCAATTCATTTTAAATTGTAAACATAAGAAAATGATCTCTTCAAGCGAGTTTCCGGCATCCTCTGCCGTCCAGTGCAGGATTTAGCTACTGTCCTTCCGCACAGAGAGCCACGACGACACGGCGGGATGAGGAGCCACGCAGCAGGAGACTGCACGGAAGGGGCGACTTCACCTCCGCGAGCCGCACTCAGCCTCCATGTGTGCGGGCGAGCGTTCGGGGTCTGAGCAGCACCCGCACTGACGTGCATTTTCCGCCTTTCCTTCCTGAACGAGCGCGCCCCAGACACGGAAACAGCTGGCGTCGGAGCCTCTGCGCTCGGCGGGAAGTCCAGGAAGACGTAGGACAGGCTCCTCGTCTGCGCAGCCAGGGGAGCACGGAAGTCCACTCAGGAAGCTCGGAGGGCTGCCGTGGCAGGCTCGGGTGGGGCCTCGGTGACAGCAGTGGGCAGCACACACCGCCCTCAAGAGCCTTCTGGCCTGTGCCTGTGAAACGTGAGCAGAGAGTCGGTGGCACAGACTTCCCCAGGCCTTTGAGCCACAAAGGCAGAGCGTGTCACGGCTGCTGCTGGCTCCGTCTCCGCCCTGGGAACAGGCTGTGCGGTCGCATCTGGGGCTCTCCGGCCCTTTGGCTTCTGGTTGGATGTGGTCGGGGCCGGTGGGGGGTGGAGGGGCAGCAGAAGACCAGAGTGGGGAGAGTGAGGTCAGGGTGCTTCCCTGGGGCCCCCACCCTCCAGGTCACCACGGCTGGATGTGTCCCCTTTTTGAGGTTCCCGGCCCCTGGGAGGCCTTCCCCAGACAGTGCCTCTCTCTCTGCCCTGTCATACCCCCGGGTTCCGCACCAGACCTGTGGCCTTTCCTGCACCTCTGCAGACAGTCCTGGTGGAGACTGTCCCCTGTGACCCAGCCTGAGGGCACCACTGAGTCCCTGGGACCCTGATTAGATCAGCTGACCTTCAACGGCATTTTACTTTCTTACACGCTAGAGAGATTTGAATCTGGTCATGTCTTCCAATAGGGTATGTCAAAGCTATAAAATTCAACTATGCTACAGACAACTTCTTTATATTAGTATCTGCAGCTGCGACTTTTCAGCACTCGGTCAAACAAGAACACACTGGTAGTGCGAGAGAAGCAGAAATATTTTCTTATCGTTAAGCGGTATCCTCAAAAAATAAAATATAAACAATTAGCTTTAATTTTAAGAACAGAATGTTTAATCTGGATGTTATATCTGCGGTCCCCAAACCCCGTGTGCAGAGCTCCCCCCACCCCATGGAAAAACTGTCTTCCATGAAACTTGGGGGGGGTCACAGCAAGAGGGGAGCGAGTGAAGCTCCGCCTGTATTCACAGCCGCTCCCCGTCGCTCGCGCCACCGCCTGAGCTCCGCCCTCGCCCTCCCCAACCGTCTTCCATGAAACCGGTCCCTGGTGCCAAGCAGGTTAGGGACCGCTGGTTTACATAATATACTTTCAAGTAATTAATGGTTAGTAAGACCATTAAAAATATTGTATATCATTGAATCTGAAATGACATGAATGGCAGGGGATGTTCTGATTCCAGAAGTGTTAAAATGTGGAGGAAAAATATCCCTTTGACACAACGAAATACAGAGCGTTTCACAAGAATGACTCATTTATAGTCCGACATGTAACTTTTCCGAGGGAAAAATGATACATTTTCTTTTTATGAAGAACTTATTGCTTATTTTCTACCCCCAGGATGTCACAGCCACGATGTCACGGAGCTCAGACTCTTAATCAGAGAGTGAGCGGCAGTTCCCTTCTGACCTTTGCCTTGAACTTCCGAACACGTCACCCACGTACGTGTCCACGCTGGAGACACTGCTGTGATTTCTAATTCGGGAGCTAGCACAGTGCCTGGAGTCTGCCTGTCTGTGGCGTCAGCACCGCAGCAGGAAGACTAACCAGGCCTTGAGTGACAGGCCCACGGCTGTTGCTCAGACAGGTCCTCCCTGCGGCAGCCTGGTGACACGCTATCACCCGGCCCCACACACAGTCCATTCACTCAGGAAGCAGACTCCAAACACCTCAGGAGTCCAAAACACTCACGGTCACTTCCCAAAGTTCCGTCAAACTCACTGTTGGCTCAATGTGACAGTGTGTGACCAGCTGCCAACTAAACATGCAAATGCCACCAATTTACAGGCAGGCTGCGCCTCGTCCACGCGCCTTACACGGTAGTCCGCAGGTAGGCAGGATGACTAAAATGTATACAGGTGTCAGAGGTGGACCTGGTAATCAGTTTCTACCAGGTTGTGTTTTTTAAAAAAAGTCACAGACATTAGCTGGAAACACATGACATCTACGAAAGACACACAGCTGTGAAAACGAGCACGTGGCCTTTCCCTAGAGGGAACCCCACCCCTCCCCTGCGTGTGCCGTGTGCGGTGTACAGGACACGCGCTGCCCACCCCGCAGACAGGCCGTGCCTCTGCCTGGTTCTGCCCCAGGCCTCGGGTCAGGGTGGGGTGAGGCTTTGTGGGCGTCTCATCCACGCTCAGCATTTGTGGCTAAATCCTTTCTCAGTGGGAAGGTCGGTGGCATGGGGGGGGGGGTGCTCTGACCCATGATCATTATTTTTCCACTACTGCTGATACAACAGAATCATCCTCATTTATCACAACACGAGAAAATCGGTTTTTATTAGCTAAACTTAGCAGGAAGCTTACGGGATGCGCTATGGAAGAAATGCGGAGGAGAAGGGCTTTCCTGGTGAGCCACACGGGGCTGAGCCTCGGCCTCCCCGTGATAAACACACCGCCGCCCGGGGCACCGGGGTATGGAAGTCACACTCACACACCACGCGCTCTGCTCCTTCCCGGCGAGCATGAGCACGGGGGTTACAGATGCGTCTCTGGACATCGGGAGGGAACAGGCCGCCTTCTCTAACGTGACCATCTTACAACTTGCAGTTTAAGTTCTGGACGACCAAACGAGCACAGTATTCGGAAAAAACGTGGCAGAAAGAGAGAAGGAAGAAGGACCTGAGTACTAAGGGTAGTTCCTGAGTACGTGGGACCCTCGCCGAGGCTACGCTCTCTCTATTGTTGGTCTCACAAGTAATAAGGCGTGTTATGACAGCAATGTCTTGAAATTTTAATTTTCCTTTGAAGTATTTCTTTGACTTGAGAGGTAAAATTAACGCGGTTAGTTTAACGTGGCGCGTGTGTGTGCAAGCGCACTTGCGTGTCGCCACGTGTATCCGTGGCATAAAACAGTAACTTCACTTAAGGAGCCACTTCAGAAAGATCACGTCCAGCCGGCACTGGGAATAAAAACTAAGAAAGGACTCGCCAAGTCCAAGGGGAACAAAGACAAACTGTGACAGCCGGAATATTAATAGAGCACACGAGACAAAAACAGGTGATGGGTATCAACAGAAGAGGCGTTTATCATAACACGCTGAAAAAGCCAGAATCGAGGCAGCTACCTTATTAAAGACTAGCCGATACCAGAGATGACTCCCAGGTTAGGAGTGGGGATGGTTTTTATCAGAGTAATATGACATGGCCCACCTCGCTGGCGTGGGCACTGTCAGCCCAGGTTGCCGAGGCCGGGCAAGACGACAGGAACTGATCAGGCCTATGACCGGAGACCAGCATCACCTCCGCCAGCGGCAATTGCCAGAGGTAGGAGGGATTTGGTTGTGTAATTTGAGAACCGGTCAGTGATGAGAGGGCCCCAAGGGCCCCTTGTGCCACTGTGCAAACAGAAGGCACATGAGGTGACCTGCATTACTGTGCATTCATGGTTCTAGGGGGTCTGGTTTCATGAATTTGAAAAATAAAAACCAACGTTCAGAAGTGTCGACTCTCACCCTGGGCGTCCCGGGAAACCTTACCTTCAGCAGTGCCGGAGAAACCGTCGGCCTTGAAGTTGCTGGTACTTTTCTTCCTTCGGTGCTTCTTTCTGTTGGCGTGCGGGGACGGGGGCGGGTCGAGCTTGGGGCTGGTGGTGCTGGAGATACTCGGGCTGGAGCAGACGGAGTCGCCCAGCCCCGTGTCTGTATCGGACCGGAAAAGGCAAAAGAATGCAAAGGGTGAGCACTTAGAAAGCAGACTTTGCAAAAACACCGAGGCAACGTTCCTCCGATACCACACGGCCCTGCAGGTGACGTGCTGTCGCGAGATGGCGGGACTGGCGACCACGCGCCCCTTTGCTCAAATGCCACCTGACAGTCAAACCAGCATTTACTTCTACAGCACCTTTTGCTACAGAGAATTTAAAATTCTCTACTTTGCATGACTGGAGTCTGGAGAAGGAAAGTGGTGAGTTTATGCTTTTTAGTTGTTTATTTTTCTGCTCCCATAATTCCCTTGATATATCAGAAGTAAAACAAAGACACTTAAGGGCAGAGAGGGAAGTGTCATCTCAGATGGGTTTGATCTGGGTGTGCGCGGGCGAGGCATTCCCGGCTCTCCCGCTCTCCTCCCAACCTTGCACGTGACTGTAACTGCGTTCATTTCAGTTCCGGAGAAAACACTGTACCGCTCGCTCGCTCACTCATGTCCAGCAACGGGGTTTAGAAGTCACAGACCCGCCAATTTCTGATTCATTGAAGATACTGATAAAAGTTTCAAAACCAGTATACAAATGTGATTATTCACTACAAGTGAAACTCTCAATTTATTATGTCTACTTTTATGTTTATCAAAGAGAAGGCTGAAGAGGTGCTAAATGACCAGGAATGAACTTGTAATTCAACCAGAACAGAGAAGTACACTGAAAAAAATGATGAAACACGGGTGGTCTAAACCTCTAAAGCCCCGAAAATTCTTTGCCTCACAATTCAGCATCTTTATAATTCAAAACACGGAGTTCTATGCAATACGGCATTCACTCCACGGGTATTTTCTGAGCACCTGCGGTGGGCCAGCAGCTTTTCTATGGAGACGGCACCCATCACTGACTGCGAGAGACAGACAAAGAGAGCCGCTGGCGTGGCGCGGACGCTGCGGCCGGGCGGAACCCCGAGCACGCGGGAAGGTGAGTGTGACGAGAAAGAGAGTGGGCGCCTGGAAAGATGGGCAGGAGGTAGCAGGGGTGGGGGGACCATTTTAAACAGGGTGGTCAGGGTAGGTCTTGCTGAGAAGAAGACTTTTGTACCGAGACATGACAATGACGAAAGAGTGTGAAGGTCACTAGGGAGGTCCCTAGGGAGGGAGCAACCCCGGTGAGTTCCAGAACAGAGGGAAGGCCAGGGTGGCTGCGGCAGGAGTCGGCGCTGGAGAGAGGAGGGGGCTCGTATGCTGAGGGAAGGGGGGCACCACTGCAGGGCTGTGAGCAGAAGGGTGACATGATTTCGAATACAAAGACACTTGAAATCAAAATGAGTTTAAATATTTTTATTTTGTGAAGTTCTAGAAAATGTTATCACATACTGAGAAATGTAAAAACATACAACTTAAGGTATCTGAGACATGTATATGGTTTCAGGAACGCCCCAGATGCACCTCCTTGGCCATCCCAAGACCAGGTCTCCCTTGCCCCTCTCTGCACGGTAGGAAGGCTCAGTCTTCATTCTCCGTGCCCGGTGCACACAGAGGAGGGACCTCCTGCAGGACACCCTGAGCAGCACGTGATGGAGCAAGACCCCAAGACTAAGCCGGGCGCGTTCCTTGTGGGTGGACACTTGCTCACAGAAGGTAGAAGTACCGATAGGCATTTTAAGGAGCTGCAGGAACTGTGGCAATTTGGTGTTGTCTCAGTGACGTTCCTTCCACCGGGCTGGACTGGGCTTCACACACATGCGTCAGTGACCTCTGTGCTCAGATGCAAGTGCCCATGCAGATGGGCTGCTGTCCTGGCGGCAGGGCAGGAGGAGGTGTTGACAGTGGGGATTTGGCCGTGCGTTTCCTCGTGTGCCCCCACGGAGGTCCCCCACAATGACCTCTCCTCTAGCTGTCCTCTGCCCCGTTCCTGAAGGAACAGCTCCTCTCTCCTGCTACACTAACCTTCCAGCCTGTCCTGGCCCCACCCCTGTCCTCTAAGGGATCTTGACCAGTTACTTCCACTGGGTCCTCTCTCTCCACCAGCTTCCTTTGTTTGGGGCGTGGGGGTGTCCCAAGATCACTCACATTCATTCATCCCCCTTCCCACACCCTTTCCTTGACTCCATTATTCTTTAAATGGTTATTTTCTTAACTGTAAACTCTAGTGCTAATAGCAAAGCCTCCTATAGAAGCCACAACAGTCAGGTACCGATCTAAGCTCTTTACATTCGTTAACTTAGTCCTCTAACAACCCACTTAAGTATGTGCTATTATCACCACCTGCATTTTACAAACAAGGAAACTGAGGCACACGGGGAGGGTAAGTAACTCATCAAAGTCACAAAGCTAGAGTCTGGCTCCCAGCCTGCTCATAGCCTCTAGACTGCTTCAGACGAGGTTTCTATCTGGATAGGTGGCTCACACATTCATCTTCTTCCCGACTCCCGAAACCTGGCTTCCCTCATCACTGCTTTACCGTGATGTCCTTTGTGCCATGGCCAAAGTCCTTTCACCCTCCCTTTCCCTTAACTTCTTCCGTGTACTGACCCCGAGATGCTGTCTTCTCCCCAGCGCACCCAAGGGGCCTTCTCAATGTGCACGACACCGAGGCCGGTCCCCAGCCTTGGCCCGAGGTTACACTAATCTTTTTAAGGTAGTAGTTCTTATATATATTTTAAAAATACTAGATCCCACTGAATAACATATAAAAACTGTAGTTACCCTGGAAAAAAAAGGCTAGATGAATTAAATTTTATGTATGATTTCACGGCGTTCAGAAGCTGCATAATGTTCTGGAGGGAGGTGGTCTAGAGACCCCAAGATCATCGACTGTTCCTAAAACAGCCCTTCTATGTGTTAGTCAGTGAGCAAACCCCATAGTGAACATTTTTTCTCATTTCAAGAATTTCTTGCCCAGGTTTCTAGTCTTTACCCTCTCGGCCCCACCCTCTCTGTTAAGCCTTCAGAAGCTGCTCTGTGCCAGGCATGGGGCCAGGACACGGGAAGACAATGTCGTCCTGACTGTCCCTGTGCTCAGAAGGTGCGGGCCCAGCCCTGGAGGCAGACAGGCAGGACAGGCAGGACAGGCAGACACAAGCCTGCTGCCCGGGGGCCACCCTTTCATCGTTTCACTCTGTCCCTTGAGTGTCCTTGGTGATTCCCAACTTTCCTTGTGGCTTTTGTTTTAATGCTCTGTCCCAAACTAGCATTTCTCGTCCTGCACTCCTGTTGATCCCACAGCAGGGACCTCTGCATTCTGTCTGTCGTCATCTAATCTGACTGGTGTGGCTGTCCCCAGTGCTCATGTCCTCTGTGCTGACTGGTGTAAACCCCCTGCCATTGCCACCGCCCAGTGGGCTTTTTAAAAAATCACTGTGTACCAGTATTTCTTTTTAAGACACTGGGAACACATGCACATGCTGTCCCTATGGCAGGTTCCACACATGCGCTGGGTCTAGTGCTAGGCGCTCTGTCCTAACCCATTATTCTTTTTGTCCACTTGTGTCCTAGGGCTACACTTTGTTATTTTTCACAATAGTCTCAGCTATTCTTGGCTGTTCTGAGCATGCACCTCTGTATACCCATCCGTGTCAATAAAAGGATATTGACCAGGGTGGGTGAAGACAGAGCTTCACACCTGCTCCCCTCTCCCTCCATCTCTCCTGATCGGAAGGCCCCAGCCTCACTCCAACCCTCCACCTGCTGTGCGCCTGGAGCCGGCAGGGCTGGGGGCAGCGCTGCGCCGCGGCCTCCTCTGCATGTGGTTGTAACTCTCAGGGATGGGCCTGCCCTTCCATCCTGCTGCGGTTCTATCCTGAATCCATTTCCCACTCTCCAGGAGGCTGTCTCCCGGCTGCTCCTCCCTTTCTAAACATTGCACACCTCCCTCCACCCCCATGGTGACCTCACTTTTCACCTCACTGAAGACAAAAAAACCACAAAAGCATCCCTCGGAAGGGTGCACCCCCTCCAAGCCCATGCCCCCTGGGCTGGATCCCCCTCCCTTGCTCGGACAGGGCCTCTGGCCCCAGTATCGTATACCCTATCCGCTGGCACGGGACGTGCTGTATCATCTCCCATTTTCAACAAAACCCTCCCTGACCCCACGTCCCCACCCTGCACCAGGCGATGTCTGCCCTTCTTTAAAGCCCAACTCCCCAAACCTGCCCCTCCTCGCTCCTGCTCACGCTCAACCTCACCCCACTTCAGCTCACATCCTGCCAGCCACCGGCGTGTCCTGGCTTAGGCCACTTGTGCCCTCCCCGGGGCCTGCCAGTGAAAAAGTCTTGGTGGGGTCGCATCAGTCTCTGCAGCACCCACACAGCCCGCTCCCAGCCCCCGGCGGGAGGCCGTGGGGAGGTGTGGTGCTAGACAGGTGCAGGGAAATCAGGAAGTTCTGGGCCTCCAAAGCCGAAGCAGGGAGCCCCAGGAGAAGCCCTGCTCCACTAGGTGTCCCAGCCCCTGGGGTGACACTTCATTACCTGTGCACCTGGACACCATCCCGGTGAGAGTGTGAGCTTTCTGAAGGGAGGCCTTCATTTCTCCTCTTCCCCAGGGCACATCCTCAAACGTGTTTGGGATGAATAAAGGCCGTTCGATACACATTGAAGTTTCATTGAAGAGCTGACCTCTGCCCGTCCGAGAGGTGCTCACACAGGTGGACGGAACTGCTTTTGGTGTATAATAGAGGAATGCTGTCAACTTGGTGGCTTAGTTTTAAAACTAGCCACAAGCACACTTTTGTGACAAACCACTGCCCTGTAAGTGTCCAACTGTTTGGGATCTATTTTTAGGTAAACAACTAAGTCCATGGATGAAGCCTACGGACACTGAGAAAGTCCCCCGACGTCCAGCCCACACACGCACTGGTGTGCCTTATGAGCCCGCGGTGGGCAAAGGATGAAGGGCAAAACCCGTCCCTCTAAGCTGGTTTGAAGGAGTGAAAAGAAGGCCCATCTAGTTTGTTGCTTGATGCCTTCAGTAAGAGACTATTTCTCGTGGGCCCCGCTAT